GTTTGGTACAAATCCAAATTAGTATAAGAAAGTTATTAAAATTTTAAAAACTTTAACCACAGAGTGAATGTGTTGTTTCCTGGCAGAAAATCTAAGTCCATTTAAAAGTGAAATACGGAAAAAATGGATTTATTTTTTTACAAAATTTCCTTCTAGATACTATCTTATGATCATAAACAAGCTTCTGTCCAAGTTTGGTACAAACCCAGGATAGTTTAAGAAAGTTATTAAAATTCTAAAAACTTTAACCACAGAGTGAATGTAATATTTCCCGGCAGAAAAACTAAGTCCAATTATAAGTAAAATACGGAAAAAATGGAATTTTATTTTTACAAAATTTACTTCTGGATACTATCTTATGATCATAAACAAGCTTCTGTCCAAGTTTGGTAGAAATCCAGGATAGTTTAAGAAAGTTATTAAAATTTCAAAAACTTTAACCACAGAGTGAATATTTGTGGACGCCGCCGACGACAACGACGACGACGACGACGACGACGACGCCGACGGAATGTAGGATCGCTATGTCTCGCTTTTTCGACTAAAGTCGAAGGCTCGACAAAAATGGGGTCCAGCTATCTGTATATCTCATGATAACCTTAATAATTCGGGCTCTCCGGGGGATCCACTCCCACTCACACTATGTATGGTAGAGCAGCAGCATATAATAAAGAAATTATACGGGAACAATTTGATAATTTTCAAGTTCTTCAAGAAAATGTTGCAATTAATTGCTCTTGGTAATGTTACTAAAAGATAACTTGAATTTAATATCTCATGGGTGTTGTAATCATCTTTTACATATAATATATATGAAATCTATAAAAAGTGCAAATGTATATCATATAAAACTCTTATCAAGGAGGGTCTGGATTGGATCCTTCATTTCTGTATTCTTTAATATTTTGGGTCATTTTTCTCTTTTTTTTTATTTATTTTGTCCATCATTCTCTTAGTATTATATCACCCAATTTTTCTCTTTTCCTTATCATTTTGGCCTATTTTTTATATTCTTTATTTTTTGGCCCATTCATGTTTCTGTACACTTGGTCAATTATTCTCTATTCAGCAAACCCCATCCTAACCCTCGATAATCAAGAGCAGATCCAGTGTTTGAGTATAAAAGGGTTGTTTAAATTGTCTGAAATGGTAAAATATCTGCAAGTGTAGAGATGTGATTTTTTCTATGACTATATGCCAAAACATTTTTTCCAATCAATGGGTAATATTTTGCCCTCTACGCTCCCACCTGAATCCACACTGATAATTTATTTATTAATATTGCTGTTAAAGACAATATTTGCAAAATATCTCATTTTTGGGGTAAAGTGTGAAATAAAGGATATCCAGAACAAATTTTAGAAAAGTCTTTTGTTTAATTTTCAAGATGTGGGGTCCAGCTGAATGTTTGGTTAGGAGGGTCTACATGGTCTATTTTTTTGCTTATTTTTCTTTTCTTTATTTTTGATCCCATTTTTGTTTATTATTTATATTTTTTATCCATTATTGTCTTTATCTACAAATTACATTCAGACCCACAGTTATACCAACTTTTTCCTGATCTTTAATTCTCCCTCGATCTGCTCGTCCAAATTTAAAGTATTTCTACTCTAAATTCAATTGGATATAAACAAGACAAACACAGAAATAGGATTAGTTGCTCGCAATAACAAATTATTTTCTCTTGCAATACAATATTTTATTTTACTTAATTGTACAGATTTCTTCAATTCAAACAACATATAAATACATGTAATAAACATAGCAGCAACTGTATATGTACTAATGTGACTAACTTCGATTCGACGTAAGGCCAAAAAAAAAATATATGTCTGTTTACGGTTACCTGACCGACCCTACTTTTGAGCGCCGACCCTAAGTCATTTTATTTCCGTCGTAAAGTGAAAAATAAACAACTCGTGTCAAAAGTGAAGTTAGTGTTGTCAGTAATATAAATCAATTGCCTGATACATCCCAATGTTCACAATCGTGAATATGATAGCTGTTTTAAGGAAATTCGCGACTCGTGTGATGAAATAAACACTTTGCCGCCATTTTTTTCCAACCAATAACCAAGGGAAATAATCCAATCATTAAAAATACGGGTAAACTCGGCCCATGATCAACTCGGACCACGACAAGACGAAACCGCATGACTCAAAATCATGTCACAAAAAATGAAAAAATAAAATAAAATGAAAATACCAACCTACCTACCTTATTTTTTTAAAGTATGTAACCTTAAACGGACATATATTTTTTTTTAGCATAACTGGGAGCACCTTCGATACTAATATTTTTAAATGCCAAACTTTTATATAGTACCATAAAACCCCACATGTAGAAACTGCCAAAACTTTTCTCGTGCCTTATGCACCTAACATCAAACTGTATAAATAGTAAGTACTGTTGCAGAACTAGTATCAGCATGATCAGAACTAGTTATTCTAGGTCCCATCTATATATAAGTATTACAAATAGCAAACGGGAAAAACCCAATTTCAAACGAAATGAAATATATTTACCAAATTGTATAATACTTTTGCCTAAATTCATACGTCTTTTGGAAAGAGTGTTTAAAAAAGCATTCTGAGAGTATTGCATGGCAATACAGAGTCCCCTACCGGTTAAAAATTCATTGTACTGGAACAAAATGCTAACTTGATCTATAACTTGTTATGCTGTAAACTATATAACAAATATCATGTCAGTATCTTCAAGCAAGACAAACAAAAGTGTGGAAGACTAATCATTTAAGCTAAATTTATAAGTCCAAGGACAATAACTCTGCACAAAATCTTCAGACTGGAACAAAATTCGAACTTGATCTGTAACTTGTCATGATAAAACTATGTACCAATCATCAAATCAATATCTTCACGTATGACGAAAAAAAAGTGCGGAAAACTGATTATTTGAGTGAATTTTCTAAGTCCAAGGACCATAACTCTGCACAAAATCATCAGACCGCAACAAAATTCAAACTTGATCTTTAACTTGCCATGATAAAACAATACACCAAATATCAAATCAATATCTTCAAGCATGAAGAAAAAAAGTGTGGAAAACTCTGACAGACAGACAAACAGACACAGACAGACAGACAGACAAAGGTACAATGTAGGGGACTAATACAATTGGAAATGGAAAAGGGGAATGTGTCAAAGAGACAACAACCCTACCAAAGAGCAGAAAACAGCCCAAAACCACCAAAGAGTCTTCAACACAGCGAAAAAATCCTGCAACCGGAGGAGGGCTTCAGCTGGCCCCTAAACAAAAATGTATACTAGTTCAGCAACAATGGACGTCACACTAAGCTCCAAAACATATAAATGAACCAAAATTAATAAACGTCACACTAAACTCTGAAACATATAAAAATGAACCAAAATCAAAATAAATGGGGAATGTGTCCATAGGACACAGATGATGCCCCCGCTTGCATATAACGTTATAAAGGGCCATAACTTAAGAACTGTAAAAGTTACACTACCCAAATTTGAACTTGATCTGAGTTTTGTGGTAATAAGCATTGTTTATAAGTTTCATAACATTTAGTTGATGTAACTAAATTAGAGAACAGAAACGAAAAATTCAGCAATTTACCATTTTTAAAGGGGCATAACTCTAAAACAGTAGAAGTGAAGCCACCAAAATTCAATCTTTGTCTGTGTTTTGTTGTAATTAGCATTGTGCATATAAGTTTCATAACATTTGGTTGAGGCAAACTAAAGTTAGAGAACAGAAACAAATATTTCAGCAATTTTGAGATTTGTAAAGGGGCATAACTCTAGAACGGTAAAAGTAACGCCACCAAAACTCAATCTTGATCTGTGTTTTGTGATAATAAACATTGTGGATAAGTTTCATAACATTTGGTTGAGGCAAACTTAAGTCAGAGAACGGAAAACGAAAAAAATTTTATGTGCCTGTCCCAAGTCAGGAGCCTGTAGTTCAGTGGTTGTCATTGATTCATGTTTGTCATATTTTTTTATAAATAGGGGCCGCCATTTTTCTCAATATGAATTGTTTCATATTTTTCATGTCGGGGCCTTTTATAGCCAACTATACACTATGGGTTTTTCTCATTGTTGATGCCGTACGGTTCCCTTTAATTGCTGCCATCCACTTCATTTTAACTTTGATGGATTAAGTTATCTCATTGGCAACCATACAACATCTCCTTATCTTTATATTAGTACATGGACACACCAACATGACCAACAACTGTTTCCACTACATGTACCTGTATTATAGGATTATAAGATAATGCTGTTTTAGAGCACTTGAGTAACATTTCTGGACATATATATCCACTCATTTACTTGTATGTCAATATAAGATTGATTGATTGTTGTTTGCTTAATGTCCAGTGGCAAATATTTCATGCAATTTAACAAATTTACAATTTATACAATTAGTAGGTTCTGCATGGTAAGGTTGAACAGGGAAACATGGACTGTCTCTGGAACATTTTGGAGAGATGTTATTTAAGGATTCTTTAACGCACAAAGAGCCTGCAGGTACCTTCTCTTCATGACCATCAGATGTTACACCCTCATTCTGGCTTGACATCATGGACATGGTTGCAAATTTATACAACCCACAATTATAATTCACACAGCCAAACAGAGGCTCCAATTCGGTAAGGTTTTATTGCCAGTCTGAAGTTTAGGTTCTTTTCACAAATTCATGCACTAGATGAGAGATTCTTCTAATCAATAAAGCAATTACCGGTATTAAAATCCATTTAGTAAACATTCGTACAAGAAAAGGGGGAGGGCAACAGTCAACTTCCTCGGTCGATTTCAATTAGAATTTGATGAGTGGTTATCGAAATTGATAATAAAGGCTGATCTAAAATGCTGTTATCAGAAATGTATCCAATGCGATGTGACCAATGCGTCGGCCTCAAGTGGTCCCACCGCGTATTTGGTAAATGTCCAAAAAATTAACATACGAGACTTGTAAACAAACAAGTATCGCTGTTACGAACTTACCATTACTTATATTTATTTACACACATTTCCACAATTGTAAACAAAGACATTCATTGTTCTTTCTTCTCACATTCCTAAACCGTTTCCTGACATCATGGAATTTCCCCAACATAGGAAAGCTATTTTTACATTTATTGTTTGGAACCAAAGCGAGACAACTCCACATGTTTAAAGGCCACAGGTAAACATTTTGACGGTTTTACAGCAATATACAAATCCTTGAATGGATGAATTTGTATATGGTCAGTTTCACATTGAGAAATCTTGCATACAATAGATATATGTTATTGTAAGTAGAAGTTTGCTAATGGACTATTGACCGTCCATGAGACAATAAAACCCAAACAAACGAAAAACAAAAATAAGAAAAGAATAAAACCCAATACAATAAAGAATTAAAAACAACAGTGGCGGATCCAGAAATTTTCATAAGTGGGGGCCCACTGAATGCCTAAGAGGGGGCCCGCTCCGGTCATGCTTCAGTGATTCCCGATATAATCAACAAATTTTTCCCAGAAAAGGGGGGGGGGGGGCCTGGCCCCCTCTAAATCCGCCTCTGAACAATGTGATAACTATATTTTAATACGCTTCGTAGTGATATGGAAGAATATTTTATAGATTCATTTTGTCAAAGAGAATAATTGTAATCTCAGATCACCGGCGCTAGTGTAAGCCAAAAAAGTGTCCCATGAAATTGTGTCTTCTTGAACTCATATGGCAAAATCAAAGGTACTTTATTTAAATCATTTGCACCACGTGACTTTGTCCCTTTTGATCAAATTACTTCCCTTAGCTAAAGATTGAAAATATAATTTATTATAGATTTGCGGATAATCCAGTCCTTTTCCGTCATGTACCTAAAACTATTGTATCTTTAAAAACTTCCTTTGGCGGATATTTACAAAAATGCTGTGTAATTCTAAGGGAAAATGCTTAAAATTTGACTATTAACGAAATGGGAAGGTTGAAATCATCATGTTTTTAAAAGAATTTGGCCGAAAACTTAATAAAGCAGGTAAGTTAAAAGTTATTTAACTTTAAAATTCAACCTACAAGGTGTTTCCCTATATGCGAACAAATCATAAACAATATCTTCTTGCATGTGTATTTCTGTTTTGAATCTTACTATTTTACGATTTTACGTCATTTTATTTGATCTTATATAGCAATTACACAATGGTTACGCTTCCGATTTTTAAACTAAAAAGGCCGAAAGATTTCAGAGTAGACAATGTCCATTTGTACACGGACAGAAGCCTAAAAAACATGTGCAATTCACCTATATGCGAACAAATTGTTCATTCGACATAGGTATTTGCATATTGGCATTTTTATTAAAAGGGCTTATATAATCCTATTGTAATGGCTGCCGTCATGATAAGGCAAAATGGCCGCTATGCAAATTAGCAAATTACCCCAAATTTTGCCATATGTCTTATTTCATATTTCATCTGTGAAATTTCGTTCACGGGACAGAATATTGTCTCTAGTACTTGGACATAATTTCATAGATGTTTTATAAAAATATGTCACAAGGGACAATTTTTCATAGTGTATATAGCTGTTTTTTTCTGTCCCTAAAGAAGGGACATAATTTAGCAATCATTGAAATGTTTTAATCAATTAGTTAAATCATAAAATTTGAAATGTAAATAAAGACAACACAGATGTGAACAAATATGGAAAGTGGTGAATATAAACAGCTATATGACCTTTTGTTTGATGGTCAATACCCTCCAGAGTTTAATAATAATAAAAGAAGATCATTTAGAAGGAAAGCCAAGCAATTTGAAATTAAACACAATGAAATGTTTTATACACATGTTGACAAAACAATTCATTGATTCCTACTGTATATTTAAAAACAAATGTCGATTTAGTCTTATTATTATTTTATTGTAAATTAAATTGTTTGGTATTAGACAAGACTTTTGTGCAATTTGGACATGATTTCACTATGAAAAAATATCCAACAAAGGTAAAAATAGAATATCTTTTCAAGGGACACTTTTACACAGAAGTGGACAATATTTTATAACAAAATTCTGTCCTGAACAAAATTTCACAGGTCATATCCGTGAAATTTTGTCCATGGGACATAATTTCATGGGGGACACTATTTAATCCTACACTAGCACCCATACATATCATTAGTTACACAGTGTGCTATAGTGACCTAAAACGATCCGATGTCAGTAAATTGAATTTACTGATCATTCCCAGACCAAATATTAAAATCATTCACTTCAATTGGATCAAAAAAAAAAAAAAAAAAAAAAAAAAAAATTACGAAAATACTCCTTCACAGCATAATGAGAGTTGTACTTTTTTTCCAAAATTCCAAGTTTACTATCCACAGCGGTTACTGATATATTGATATATTATATCAGTAACCATAGTAAAATAGCAAATGCAAGTTATTTGTAGTATATTTATGTTCATATAATACAGAAAAATGCGAAAATAATTGAAATTAATAGAAAACAAAAAAATAACGGATTTTAGAAAAAAGGGGTATATATAGGGTAAACAAAAATTGTCTTGTCCCCAAATTTCAATGTTATCAAGCTGCAGACCAAATATTTAAAAATCTTTCCCTTTCAAGTTATCTTTCGGACGGACGGACAGAATAGAGCGAGGTTACTAGATCGACCTGCTTCCGCCTTCAGCGACCGTCAGGTAAAATTCACAAACTTAATTGAAATATAAAAGTGTAAGAACAAAATTGTCCTGTCTCCGCTTGTACCAGTGCCTGTCCCGAGTCATTCGGAGTTTGTGATGTCATTGTTGCTTTATATATCTGCCATATTAAATTTTGATTTCCGTTCACTAGTATAATTTTTATCATGTCATGCACCAGACCGTTGGTTATGTCTGTTGACAATTCGTTTGGCCTCTTATAGATCTTTACACCGGGCGGGTATGGGTTTTTCTGATTGTTCCAGGCATTGCGGTGACTTATAGTTACTTACATCCTCGCCCTATTACACAGCTACTACAGAAACACTAATGCTCGAGTCAATATAAGGCAGTTCAAGATGAAGATTGCTGATAAGCTGGCGTCAAAATTTAGATTTTCTGTGTTTTTTAAAAAAATTATTTGTATGCTTCCTCATTAAAAGTTAGGGACATATATTCTACTCCTGTCTGTCCGTCATTCCGAACGTCCGCATACGGTGCACGTTAGTCATTAACCATTAGTCCAAACTTTTCTTGTATATACTTTTTCCATATCATGCATATGGCATAATTTGTTTCATTAAAACTAGACAACTCTTACTGAAATAAAGGGAGGTAAGTTAAACTCGAACATAATCTTCATACGTCTTTGTACATTTATACTAGGCGTACTTTATATTCTGGGAGAACATGATTTATTTAGTGGTTGTTATTGCCTTTCAATTAGCTTTCAGTAACTGCGAATACTCTTGGGTCAGTACTTTGTGTCTTATGTCTTTATGTTAGTTTTTTTTGGTGTTTTGGGTAGATCTTCTGAATCAAGCCACTTCCAGATGTTTGTTCTTATGTTGTGCTGATACACCGCAGTCCCAGGTTAGGGGAGGGTTCAGCGCTCACAAACATGATTAACCCTGCCCCATTTACATCTATTCTATATGCACTTGTCACACGTCAGGATCTTGTATTTCAGTGGTTATCGTCGGTTGCTGTCTTTCATATTTGTTCTTCGTTCATTTATAGAATGTATATTGAAAATAATAATGCACTAGTATACCCCAATGGGGTTGATGGCATACATGAAAGTTTATTGTTTTGCCATAAGTCAGGCCGTTGATTTTTTTCGTTTGAATTATTTCACATTTTGTCATGTCGGGGCTTTCATTCCTGACTATATATACGGTATGGATTTGGCTCATTGATACATTGTTTTAACTCAGAAATACAAATAGCAGTATGACGTATACTAGTTTGAAAAGTTTCTAGTTCCAAAGTGCTGAAAGTCATCAACATGTGTAGAGAACGGTTCGTAAATAAACCGATGAATGTAAAATATCCAATTTAAATCACTTCTGTCCGGTCGCTCCAGAATCACCGCTGTCCGGTCGCGCCAGAATCAGATTGTATCTTCGGCAAAAACTTTCACAGAATTGATGATATTTGAAGACGAGGAAGGGTATCTGTTTTTGTCCTCTTAAATGTTCGGGATTTAAGGTATGTGTTGGTAATTTTGACAAAAGAGGTAAGATATGCAGAATTTCCATATATAAAAATTAAGAAGAATTGGTATCATTGCCAATGGCATGTATCCAGAAGAAACCAAATAACGTACATGTTAGCAACTATAGGCCACCGTATGGTCTCAAACACTGACCAAAACCTTTATAGCAAGCTATAAAAGGCCCCGACATGACAAATGTAAAAAAAACCAAACAAACGAGAAAACTAACGGCCTGATTTTACGAATTGGTTGACTGATACAAGGTGTTGGTGTCCCGCGCACATTCAGACGGGGTTGCACCAATCGCCCCCAGAAAAATGAATGTTATGATTAAATGTAATAGCTGACTTTTGGGCTTCATATAAAACACAGGTCGCTTTGATAGGGTTTATGAAATTTATTAATCAGTAACGTATAACACCCAAACTTGTGGAGCAATGTAGTTACTGCATGCTGTGGCACAAACCATTTCAAACGTTCATACTGGTAAATTATACAGTGAATTTCTATACGAGCAGCTTACAAATTGTCAAAATGTCAAGAGTGTTATTTCAATACAATTCAATATCAATTCTCAATATATTCAATGTCTACTGACATAAACATCTTTCCATTTCGAATCCTTCTAACTCATTCAAATAAACTCGCAACTCAGCGCTAAAACTTTAAACCAACCAATCAGATTACTTGCAATCCAAATAATCGTGAATATTCAACAATACGTCAATAATGTATGGAAACATTTCAATGTAATCAAAATTTCAAATTACAGCCAATTTCCGGTGTCAAAATAATTTAAAGTCATCCGATTCCTCATGCCCAGGAGCGCCTTCTAACATCAAATCCTCGATCTCCGCGTTGGTGTCTCAACTCACTAGCGACATGTTTTCGCGGTCTTAGATACCAATAAAGTCGTGTGATCTGTATACAGTAATTAAACTAACAGTTTCCTATATTCGGCTGTGACATTTTGACTG